TGGTGCCTTCCATTCATTAGCGCCAAAAATTCCTAAAAATGCCCTTCCTCTCTCCGATACCTGAATATCAATAATAACTACACAAATTATATTACTAACTTTGAAAGAAGCACGACGGAAAAAGAAACACTACTCTCCTGAAACAAGGATGCGTAGGGAATGCATTCTGGCTCCAGAAGTACTCCTGATGTCGGTGGGCCAAAGTAGCTATTATCATATGTACTTGTTGGAAATATATGACATTGTTTTTGGGGATCTCTTCGTCAGTTGCCCAGCCGGGCTGTTACTAGTGTCTGTTTTCCATTTCCTGTATTTTTTTTCAAGACACGATTTTATAGGAGTCCACAACATAGTTAAGGCCAAATTTGCGTGATTGATTGAATGAATTCAGTTGGTTTTGGACCAAATACAAGCTCATTATATAAAAAACTACCTTCCACTTCGACAAGGAAAGCGACCCTCTTTTGGAAGTCATCATTATTCTGTGGTTCGACACATAAGTCACATATTCATAAGAAACGATACAATATGAAAAATGGGTTTTCTTCAAACACTTCAGTGTGTGATTTTTACAATTTACCAATCACTTTTTTTTCAAAACCACCACTTTTACAAGCCAATTCGGTGTGTGTGTGTGATTGATTTTTACATTTACCCATTTCTTGTTTGTAACGATGAGGCGGTGATTGTGTGGGTGGCCTGCATGTTTTTGCATGGAAATCCCACAATCCTACATTCTCACTGTATGAATCCTTTTCAAATGTAAAAATTGCTTGCCATGATGTCGGTCCGACAAGGCGGTCTCTGAAACGCTGACATTTCAAAGATATATAAATTTGCAATTGCACCGGAATTTCACCATAAGTATGTTTGAAAAGAGATCTAACCATTCAAGTTATTCAACTGGCCAACGAGGGCTCGAATTGTACCTGTAAGCTCATATGAGAAAGTTAAGCCCCTTCAATGATTTTAAGCTTCGGCTTGAAGTTTGAAATCTCTCCTCTGGAAACGTGTTGTTTGAGAAATAATAGGTGTGAAGAAAGTTTGAATCTTCCCCTTTCAATTCCGAAGCCTTTCATTGTCACTACCACGATTTGATAGTCGCCTTATCCCATATATATTTCAATTCATGTTCTTGTGAGTGTATCATGGCCATCAAAGGTTCAAAATTTTTGTTGGCAAGAGACCGCGTAAAACGATTGTTGGAGAGGTCTAGATAGCAATTTTTGGCATGGAAACTTACGTTGTTGGAAAATGCTATTTCACCATACATTGTTAGCCCTCAAGATAAGAACTTGCATCAGAAGATGATATTCAGCCATTTGGGAATGGTCATTGAATTTGGGTTTGTTTCCAAGGTCTAGAAATCCAAACTCTTATATATGAGCAACGTTGGCGGGCAACGAACCAGTCATCTTTTCAACAGATCGAGCCATACTTGAAGCGCACTTGCACTCCCAAGGGCACTGCCACGACCTCATCAACTAGAATGATTATTAAATGTCGAAATTGCTGTAATAGTCAATTTTTTAAGTTGATTCGTATTGTAACCCTCAGTTTGTGGGCAAATATATTTAATTATGCATGCGATTTAGTTAATTCTTCATTTACTGTATTTTTTGGACGAGAAGAATTATAGGAGTATATAACATGAGTTGAGCCAACATTGACCTATATTTATGGCATTGTTGTCCATGTGTTTGAAAATTATAAGATGATGAGCAATTATTCTAATGTAAACAAAAGTAAAAGAGGGACCTCTTTTCAAATTAATGCATATTTATTGGCACACTTGACTTTTAATAAAAGATTAATAAAAAAAGGATATAAATATGGAAAAAGGCAAAAAACTTTGGAATGGTTCTTCAAAACACGTCGAGTATGATTGTCACAGTTCTCGAGGGGCTTCTTCCCACACACTTTAACAAAGCCAATTCTAGTGTTCATAGAGAGTACAAGTATCCCACAGATATTCCAAGTACCCACCCAGATGCAATACCCAATCAACCCCACTACCTTCCAATCAAAAACCATCCCACGCTCCATTATCCTCTTGGTTGGAATGACGATGGCGGGTGATTGATGTGCACTCGAATGTTGGAGAAAGTGGCAATCCACACAATCCTTGTATTTCAATTATGAAATATTTTCAAATGTATCAAATGCTTGCCATGAGGATGGGCCCCCAAGTGATTTTTTTGAAAACATGGAAACTTGAAGGGACGTCAAATTGTCAATTGCTTACGGAATATCACCAACAAGGTTGTTTGAAGATAGATTAACCATTTCAAGATGGCTCATTCCACCAAGGATGGGAATGGTTACCGGTAAGCTTCATTAGAGGAAAATTTTACGCCCCTTTCAATGTTTAAGGCTTACGGATTACACCTTGAAATCTCTCCTTTGAAAATTGTTGTTGAGAAATCAATATGTGAAGAACGTCAGGATCTTCTCCATGTCAATTTAAAAGCCTGGTATTGTAACTGCCATAGTATCCTGAAGTAGCCCTCCCCATAATTATTTCGTCCAAGTGTTGAGAGTTTTTCAGGGCCGTCAAAGTTTCAAATATTTTGTTGGCAAACGCGGGTGATACGCTAAACCGATTGTAGAGAGTCCATGATACGCAACTTTTGGAATGGAAACTGAGTTTCGGAATATGCCATTTCACCACAGAAATTATGGACCGCAAGATAAGAACTGCACTTCGAAAAGAGATTCCAGCAATGTGGGAAGGGTCTGAATTTTGGTGTTTCCAAGGTCATAGAATTCAACTCTTAAATGTGAGCAAAGGTTGGCCGGCAACGAAACTGCCAACTCATTTCAGTTAAGATTTTAAGATTTCTCAAACCACGTTTCCCTCAGAAAATGTCCCCAGGAATCCGCTGAAATTTACTTACCTCTCTGTAGATTCAAACAGAGAGGCTCTGACGGTAAATTCCCTCATGCATGATGAGTTTGACACTCAATTTTTATTATTAGACAAATGCAAAGGATTTTAGTCTACTCAGGCTGCAGATCGTTGGAGGTATCTCAAGTGAATTGATTATTGATATGAAAAAGTGTTATGGGAAGGCGGTGGAATGGAAGCTCTCCTTGGGGTGAATTGGCGAAGGTCAAGATAGTTAAGATTTTCCACGAAGTGGTCCTACCGTACCAGCAAAGAGTTGTGAGAAGATTCTAAACATACCATAATTGATCCTTTCCCCAATCCAACAACCATTCGGCCGAATTGTCTGGCCTTGGATTCGGTGTGGGGAAAGGTTATTACAACGGTCCAATTGTGTAGCTTATTAGAAGAGTATGGGAACCAGTTAGGTTCAAGACGAAAAATCAGTTAATTTAGAAGTGACGGCCAGGTGTGTGAATCAAATGGTTGTTTGACGCTCACGGATAGATGGCTTAAAGGAAAAGAGGAAGAAGCCTGAGACCTTCGGAGTTTGGAAGAACTTTCAAATCCAAATTCCACCCACAGACTATTGGATGATAAACTTAGGTACTGGAGCATTTTTTTTTTTTTTTTTTTTTTTTTTTTTTTTTTTTTTTTTTTTTTTTTTTTTTTTTTTTTTTTTTTTTTTTTTTTTTTTTTTTTTTTTTTTTTTTTTTTTTTTTTTTTTTTTTTTTTTTTTTTTTTTTTTTTTTTTTTTTTTTTTTTTTTTTTTTTTTTTTTTTTTTTTTTTTTTTTTTTTTTTTTTTTTTTTTTTTTTTTTTTTTTTTTTTTTTTTTTTTTTTTTTTTTTTTTTTTTTTTTTTTTTTTTTTTTTTTTTTTTTTTTTTTTTTTTTTTTTTTTTTTTTTTTTTTTTTTTTTTTTTTTTTTTTTTTTTTTTTTTTTTTTTTTTTTTTTTTTTTTTTTTTTTTTTTTTTTTTTTTTTTTTTTTTTTTTTTTTTTTTTTTTTGGGGAAAATAGTGTGCTGAAATAATCAGGCTACAAATTGTATTCTAATATAATCACTTGGGGACGTGAAATGACCGAAGTGCCCTCCATATAAAAGCAGATGTATCAACCCTTTAGCACCTCTTTCTTCTCTGTTTTCGCAGTTTGCCAAAAATGGGGGAACTCTAGGTTGCGAGACATTTTGGCACTGAGCAATCCAGTTCACAACCCATCCATAGTCACAACCCAGATGTCCTAAACTTTCGAACCCTAGTTTGACCGTAGCGAAGCCGGCGGAACGCACCGCCTCCATTCTTGACCTCCAGATCGAAAGTGACTGTTGCGAATCCACGGAGAAGCGAAAGTGGCGACTTCCGGCGTCGTTGTGAACGGAGGTGAGTTCAGATATTGGTTTGGTAGTGTATGTGTATTATAAAATCGTGCATCCCCTTTTCACCACAGAAGGGCAGAAGAGCTTAAATTTTCAGTTTGAAGGCGTTATGATATGTTGAAATTCATAGTTTGTGTTATTATCTGCAGTGGGATGTATGTGGTAAACTTGAATTTTGGTTAAAATTGACCGAATGCTTGTATAATGTAGTGCAATGTGTTTGATAATGGGCAAAATAACAGCACACAGAAAAATCATATGTTAACTTTGTCTGGCCTAAAAGTAGGTTTGTTAGGGTAGTTTTAGGCTGAATGTAGATGCTAATGTGGGGAATTTATTGGCATTCTGGGTTTGTTTTGGTAAGAAGTAAAGTTTGTGTGTTTTGGTTTCCAATTTGGTAATTGAGCTTATACCACATAATATGTTCTGTATCACAACCTGAGCCTTTTGTTGAAGTTGTTTACATTTGTTGAAAACCCTTAGAGGTTAGAGGGTTCATATTGCTGCCATGGTATGTTTATGTGAGTTTGTTAATAACTTGGAACCCACAGCTATGTACAAAATCAGAGAAAAGACAGAAATGAATAAAAGTTCCTTGTTGAAGCAGCTAGAATTTGAGTTTGGAAGATTTATAAAATGATATGTGTGGAATGATTGTTGTGTATGTTTTTATTTGTTTGAATGTATCTTTTTTAGTTTTATTCATTGCTGTAGTAATTATCTATGTTATTTGCAGAAATGGATACTGTTGGAATATTGGTATGCTACAATGGAAGTTGGGTTAAGAAGGATAACATTGAGAGTTACGAAGGTGGGGAGGCTAAAGGCACAATAGTGTCACGGAACGTAACGTTTTCCGACCTTGTTCAGCGCATTTATAAGATCATGGATGCAAATCCCACGAAATATATTGTCACACTGAAATATTCAGTTCCTGTATCCTCATCTGTCTGTAAGCATATAAGGGTTGAAGACAATGATGATGTTAAATATTTTGTAAAGTACAACACAGATGTTATGGCCTCTAAAGTAACCCCTTTAGTAGCAAGCTTGAAAAATATTGAAGGTCATGGTATTGAAGGGTGCAATGGCATTGTAAGCGTTGAGAGTAGCAATGCTCCTGCTGACTTTGTTGTGGAACAAAGAAATGTGGTAATTCGGGACAATGAAACTGAAAATGGTGGGAATGATTTTAATTGGTGTGATTGGGTTGAAGAAGTGAATTTTGAAAGTGGTGAAAACATAGTTGCTGATTTCAATGAACCTAGCAACGAAGAGGAACCGCAGTCTGCTCCGATTCTGCATCCTTATGAGGACAGCAATGTCAAACCGTCCACTGTGCAATGTAGACAGGTGCAATCTGAACCTCCCCGACAATCAAGTTCGACTGAAATGCATACAAGTCGGGGTGATTTGAAGCATGGTCAGAGTTTGGAATATATTCAGTATGGTGGAGGCGTTTCGTGCATAAATTGGGAAGCAAATTTGAAGGTTGGCCAAGTTTTTCCAAATAAGATTGCCCTTTTAAAAACCATCAGTTTAGCAGCTATTACAGGCCACTTTCGATTGAGAACTGTCCAATCTGGGAAGCATCGGTTGTGTGTTCGCTGTTGGCAGCTTCCTTGCCCTTGGAAAGTTCGGGCATATAAAGTTGGATTACATGAGTTTAAGGTTGTTAAATACGATCCACTTCATGAATGTGATACAACGTATATAAGTAGTCATCATCCTCAAGCTACGACTGAATTGCTGTCTGACTGTGTTAAGTGGAGATTTCAAAGATTCGCGCAGCATTTATACAGCAGCTGATATCAAGAAAGATGTGAAACAAAATTTCGGTGTGAGCATAAGCTACTCTACAGCGTGGAGAAGCCGAGAGTTAGCTTTCAAAAGAATTAGAGGGTCTGCAGAAGAGTCGTATTCCCTTCTCCCTTCCTATTGTTATGAATTGGAGCGTACAAATCCGGGAACTTTGACATACATTGAGACTGATGCAGCTGATCACTTCTTATATTTTTTTATGGCAATTGGTGCATGCATACGAGGATTTAAGTCGTCAATGCGGCCCGTGATTGCTGTTGATGCTACTCATTTGAAGTGCAAGTATAGAGGTGTTTTGTTTGTTGCGACCGCATTTGATGGAAATCGGAACATATATCCTGTTGCCTTTGGGATTGGAGATTTGGAGACGGATGCAGCTTGGGAGTGGTTTTTGAGAAAACTACATTGTGCAATTGGTGATTGCTCGAATCTCGTTGTTATATCAGATCGCAAGGTTAGCATACAGAATGGGTTGCGTAGAGTTTTTCCTGGGGCAAGCCATGGTATTTGCTTTTATCACTTGAAAGGCAATATCAAAGCCTCATTTAAGTTGAAGCAGCGGGATCCGATATTGGGGTATTTTGTAAGGGCAGCTAAGTCTTATCGTCTAGCGGAGTTCAATCGTCACTTTTCCAGGATAAACAATGACCGAGTGCGAACTTATTTACTACGTGCAGGCGTCCAGAAGTGGTCTCGGGCCCATTGTGATGGACGACGATATAATGTGATGACAACGAATATTGTGGAGTCCATTAATTCAGTTCTTCGGTTTGCAAGGATGCTTCCGGTGCTACACTTGATTGACGAAATTACAAATCTACTTGTCTGTTGGTTTAGGCAACGTCGAGAGTTAGCAATGAAATCTCATTCTATGTTGTGCCCTGATTTAGGGGAAATTAAGTTAAGGAAGAGGTTAGACGTTGCGTCAAGGATGAATGTGGTCAAAATCAATGAGGTCGAGTATAATGTTCTGGATGGTGATTTGAACGGTCTGGTGCACTTGCAAAACCGTAGTTGTACATGCAGGAAGTTTGACTTGGAGCAACTCCCGTGCAAGCACGCTATTGCGGTATGTCGGCACTTGAAATTGAACCCCTACTCCTTTGCCTCTTCTTATTATACACGAGCTACATGGGCAGCTGCATATGCTGAATCTATTTATCTTGTACCACCTGAAGGCACATGGGTTATTCCCCGAAAATTTGAAGAAGGTCAAAATCCTCCCTCCTCTTTGTAAGGTTATGCCGGGCCGTCGCAAAACGCAAAGAATAGCTTCTAAAGGAGAGGAGTCCCGTCAAAAAAAATGCTCAAGGTGTGGTGTGAAGGGCCACTACCGAAGTACATGCAAACAATCTGTCCCTCTCACCAACAAGCAGCACGTTGCGTAGATGTTACACTTGTTTAGTTTCTACCTCTGTTTTGGTCAACTGCGAAGTTGATGAATAGCTTCGGTGATGCTGCAGGGATGGAAGTCGGTCCACTCAACGGTCATGTGAAGCATATGGAACAAGGTAACACTTTGAGAGCCTATTATTAGTAGAAATTGGTGAACATACAGTGCCATCACCACAGTGAAACCAGCTGTAAATTAACAATGTTCCACTAGCCAATGTGTGTTTCAGATTAGCATTTCTGTTCGTTTGTTATGTACCTTTGATTTGAAATTGAATTGAATTTGATTTGGTGTTCTCTATTGTGATTGTAGTCAAATTCGCATAAATTGCTTTCCTTTCCTACAACGTCATGTATTCCTGTCTGTATATTCACACTATCGTCATGCTGCTGTCCTTTTGTTGCGTCCAAAATGAAAGGGCCTAGAAGGCTAACTACAATTGCATCTCGTACATAAAACTCCTTCAAATGCAAAGCTTACGCAATTACTGTGATACTGGTAGTACTTCATGATTGCTCATTGTTCTCATCGCCATAGAACAGAATATATAGAGAATTTTGGGAAAGTATACATGCAGCTACACATGGTCAACAGATCGCGATATTATCTATAATATCGCGATCTATTGTTATGTGAACTTTAAATACAAAAGCATTATTCACTTGAAGTCACACACACAGAGGATGAAACCCTTCCCCCCTTCTAGGTTCTGAGCTACTTAACCACAACGCCAGTCATCGCTTTTTGATTACTGACTATGGACTCTGGTATTTATAAGTGTTCGAACCTGTTTTGCAAAATGAAAATTATTTACTTAGTGTTCTATATTGTTGCTCAATTATTTCGTTACTTGATGTCATTCATTTCTGTCCTATTTTAATCCATTTCATGTTATTGCTTCTTTAATTCGAAGGTTCATTATAAGTACTGAAATTACTATCCCTTCAAATTGTTGCTTGTTTACTTAAATGAACACCCTCCTTTTTTTTATTTCGTATTTAATTCTTCCTTTCATAACTGTATTTTTGTTCCACGTAAAAATTTGCATGTATGTATACTGTCCATGGTTTGTATGGAATCGATATCTTTCCGATCTTTCCATGGATATTTTCCGTGCTTCAGAACCACCAAACTTTCCTAAACCCGCCATCGTTACGACCTTTGCTACAGTACCCTCTTTACCATTACTCAAATTGGAGAAGCTATATTTATGGTGCCAATCAATAAAGCATCAATAAAAGCACAATATACCTACCCTACGATCACAATATGAGACAATACAATAGCAATACAAAAACAATAAAACAACAATATAAGTACTCTACGATTCCAATATGAGACAATAATATACCAATACACGAAACAATATAAGTACTTGACGCTTCCAATATGAGGGCAATAAACATACAATAAGCACACATACAGTACACAACACTTTACATTTATACAAACTTACTAATTTGCCACTCAACCGTGAGAATAAGAGGATGGCGTAAACAAGGCACCACATTCATACAAAATTCATTTCGTGTCCACAAAATGCTTTGAACCCGTACTTACCCTGACCCACCTACACAGACCCTACCAAAATCCAAATGGTTACAGGTCCATCATTAGATCTATGTCCTTGTTCTTCTTCCTCGCTGCATGCACAAGGCTATGATCAGCCATTCCTTGGGCCACACTATTCAGCACCTGCCAGACACTAGCAACATCTATTTGGCTCCAATTGTAGTCTGGTGAGATGACGGAAGCATAATCTCGGAACATCTCGAACCCATTGTTAAAAGATTCAACCATTTCATGGTTAAATTCTTCAGATTCAGTGAATTTTTGCACAGCATCTTTCTTTGTTTCTTCCAATTTGACCTTCAACCACTCTAACTTTGCCCTCCGACTTTTGGCTTTCATTGTTTGCTTCACTTCTCTAGCATATGCATTGTTCAGCTTGTTCGTCAAGTTTCCCATCACCTGGCCATGAATATCACATTTCGTTTCCCACCAATCCGTAGCCGCACACAAATATTGGAGGTCCTGCTTCACTTCAGCAATTTTGTCTAGTGGATCATTGTTGTTAGCCTCACTTCCAGATGACGTGGGATCGTTATTTGGAGTCCCAGGTGGAGATGGGAAAGGGACATGCCATGGCTGGGTCTCCCGGGTAACTGCCATGGTCGTTCGGAGGGATTACGTCTGACATCTTCAACTATGGATGGGGAAATTGCACACATGCACCGTGCAAAACACTTAACATTAGGTTCAGTCTGCAGTTTTTTTTCTTCGTAACCAACAATAGGGTGAGCTTTAGTATAGCTTTGCTCTCTGCTATATATGGAGTACTATGTTTGATATGGAATTCAATGAGTACGTTAAACCCTCTTATATAGAGGAAGTTGTGTTTTATATTTATTTCAAATTGGTCATTACAGGTCAGTCTGCACCCTGTCCTCTTTGTAATTAATGAGAGCATTGTAAGATGCCCATTACAGCCTTACCAAATACGAATAAAGGTATGTCAACGGTGGAATAATCGCCCGTACAAATATACACACCTAAACAACTGTGAATACACAATAAACACAACCTTACTAAAAAACTGTATACTATCTGAATATTCAAGGTCTTCACATAGTAATACTACAAATGACGACCAAGTTCCCTAATTATCAATTTACGAAATATACATAAATGTTTATAAATTATTCAGTATTCCCTACAAATGACGATACTATATGTTGTCCATATGAGAAAATTAAATAACACGAAAACAATCATATACAGTCCCGACCCACATTTCAAGGGGAAGTTAACGTCAAGTGGGCGGAATACACATGAACTTATTTGCAAGTATCAAAATTCACAATTCGGATTTTACCGATATATTAAAAATGGAACTCATCTACATCAGTTATTTGGAAGACAGCAACAAAGAAATTCGAAACACATATAATTTCATGGTCCTTTTTTGTAAACATCTGCATTTGTACTTTGTGAAATGACCGTACTTATAAATTTGGGACATTTTGTACTTTTGGGACATTTGTACCTCATACACGAGGGAAATTGGTCAAAGAGGACAAACAGGAATAATTTGCAAATACAACAACGGTCTCATACAACAAACACCAACCAATAACCTAATTACACAAACCCCAAGTGTAACGTGTTGGCCAACAATTGGAGCCAACCACTCCCGCCAAAAATTGGAGCCAACAACTCCCGCCAATAACTCCCGCCAGTTGCTGACTGTCATTTACTCCTGCTCATTATTACCTCCCACTATTTAATTGTAACCCAGCTGCATCCACCCAACATTTCCATCACATTTACTCCGTCAAACCCCCCCTTTGCGCAACAATTTCACCCACATCACAATTACTTCCAGTTTGGGCAAACTAATGCCCACACCAAACCGCAGTAAATACCCAACATCCATGGACTGAAACCCCACACCAAACCCAACCCTTGCCATTATTGAAGGAGGGGACAATGACACACCTGCCTAATCAGCAACAGAAGACACTGAAGACTGGGTCCATGGACTGCAGCAATGTCGAGCCAATACTATGTTCTGGAAAAATCTCCATGCAGACATAGTGTTAAAAATTAAAGAGGGCCAAGCTAGGTGGGGTATCATAAAAAACCGCACAATTGGCCACGTTATGAAGCCCGGATGCATCTCCTACATATAAAGGCTGTCAGAGCTAAAATTGAAAATGCCCCTGCCACTGCAGTTCTTGTATTCAAGGAATCTGACGAAATGGCTCAGTTGAAGCAAAAACAACTGCAATCTGGTTTCGAACTATTTAGGAAGTTTGCAAAAATTGTGGATGCAGAAGGAAAGTGGGACATCACTGTGGGAGGGGTCATGAATTTAATGGGTCGCGGTCGCCTCATTTGAAGGGTATGCAACTCAAAATGTATCCACAGACAGAAGATATGACTTGTAATATGACCATTTTAACGGTTTAGGACAAACTTTGTACAGTGGAATGGAAGTATGACTTGGCCTCTTTTTTTATTATGTGCGGATGAGGTGCCCTGTTTATCTATTTATTTTGTATTAGGTAAGTTTGAGGGGGCCTCTTTTTTTGATATGTATAATGTAATCTTCAGGTGCCATCTTTGTTAACATTGTATTAAGTAAGTTTGTGGTCACCTTTTGTGTTGTTTTGTTTTTTTAATATGTTGTTTTATGTAAGTTCACGCTGGGATGTTATTTTATTTTGTATTCTGCCAGTTTGAGGAGGCCTTTGTATTTTGATTGTTCCTGTTGCCTTCTTTGTATTAAGTATGCTGGAAGTTTTAAAACAGCAGTTGATGTAATTTGGATGCATTCATTTCAAATCTGAATTATAACGTAATTACCTTCCACATAGTTCAACTTTGTACACTTGTCAAATGACATTGCAAAACCATTACTGAAGACAGCATAAAACAAACAATTTTGAATAGCAGTACCAACCGAAAATAATGCACAGGTTACATTGCAATGCCAATATACGTGCAATATCATGCATTAGAAAACCAATAAAGAGCATTACAAACCCAATAAAGAGGCAATAGCAAACCAATATAGTTGCACTATAACACCAATACGTCAATAATAAACCAATATACACGCAACGAAGAATTAACATGTACTGTATTTCTAAGTGTATACCATGCCGTATGTGGATTCCAAAATAAGGGTATGAATAACATTCCAATTGGATTAGGCCCTCAGTGTTGCCTATGGTAAAGTTTGATATGTTGTATAAAAACCACCCCATAAACTCCAAGTTTCATGTTGGTGCGCTCACACGGTTTTATTATCCAAATTTCGCACATGCAAGTGAAACCCATTGACCACAAGATGAGCCTCTTGACCTCTCCAAATAGCGCACAAGTTGAACAACAATTCATACAGAGAAAACAAGGAGATGAGTAGGAGGAGCCTCCGTAGCGGTGCAGCTGAGTCAGTGAGGTCTCCATGCCACTCTCAAGAGTCGCCTTCAATGTCTCGGTGGGAAATGGAAGACGCGAGTTCAGTATGTTCACGGCTGTGCTACTGTGGGAATGTTGTCAAAACGCATACATCCTGGACGATTTCTCATCCTGGAAGGAGGTTTCAAGTATGTGCAAGGGTAAGTTTATTTCTCTGTAAGTTTGACCTGAAATTTGGCATTTTCGTGGATTCCAATTGTGATGATGCGCCTCTTTGTAACGGAAATATTGTTTCCGTTTATGCAGAGGAATGGATGTACATTTTGGGAATGGGCTGACCCAGAGATGTGTGACAGATCGAAGCACATAATTCTAGGCTTACTTAGGAAAATAAACCGCTTTGAAGAAGAAAGAAATGCTGGAAAAGGGAAGATGAAAAACCCATGGTTTTGGGTCTCTGTTTTCATGTTTGGAATGATCATTTATTTGTTGTGTTCCAAATGTAATAGGAGGTTTGTTCATCTACAGTTGGCAGGTTAAAGGTGGTTAGGTTATGGATGTAATGGAAGAGGTTTGATGAATATGGTGTTAATACTTTGTTCTATACTATAATTCAGCATTTTATTGGAACCCATACTCATACTAATGCTAGAATACTTGATCAACTGAGTAATCTGAGATGTTCTAAGCTGTCTGATTTTAGATGGTATACAGATATTTTAATTTGTAGAGTCATGATTCGTGAAGATAGTAATCAACCGTTTTGGAAAGAAAAATTCATTACCGCTCTTCCAAACTTATTTGGCCATAAAAGAAGAACTGAGTTCAGCAATGAGCAAGGTCAAATTGATTGGAATAATTTAACCTATGGAAATATAATTAGTACAATTAACCAAGTTGGTATGAAAATGTGGGTACCTATGAAAATTGGTCGACAAATACAATCTGAGCACAAATCTGCTAAATATGAGTTAGGAAACTTATGTCAACAATATGGTCTTACGTCAGTACCTCCGTCTACGAAAAATAAGTCCAATTACCCGAGTCACATTAGGAAAAGTCTTCATTACTCACGAAGAAAACAAGCCTTTGAACGGAATAAATATAATCATGAGCTCTATAGGAAAAAGAAAGTTTACCCTAAGAAAAATAGGTCCAAACCACCGAAACATTGTCACTTTATGACAAGTGAAGACAATAGCAAAGTTACATGTTAAAAATGTCAAAAGTTCGGACATTATGGCTCAGAGTGCATAAGCCAAAGATACTATGAAACAGTTGAAAATCACGAATGAGGAAAAAGACAATTTAATTATAGGTTTAGAGATGTGAGACTCTGAAACAAGTGAGATAGAAACACTAGTCAACAATTCTGAGTCAGAACCCTACCAGTCCTCTGATTCCCAGTCTAGTTCAGCTGGAGTCCAATTTTGTTGCCAAGATAACTGTTGTAATTCAAAATCACTTATAGTCCTTACTAAGCAAGAAGAGCAAGAAGAGTTATTCATAGAATTAATAAGTAAAGTATCAAATCCTGAGCTCAAATCGGAGTACCTGAAGAAACCAAGAAAACTCATTGGCCAAGAAAGTCCTAGTCCGTCAACTATCCCTAATTAAATAAGTCTAAATACAACAGTAGAAAAGTTTAGCAAGAGAAAAGAAGTCACCCTTCAACACCTACAATCTGACATAAAAGTAGTCAACAAGGAAATCATTGAGTTAAAGTAAATGAGTCATAAAGTTGAAACTGAGAATTATGAAATCAAACAGAATTTAATTACTCGTCTAGAAAAGGATGATTCTGCGTCTAATAGTCAATATGAAAGTCCAACCAATTTTGAAGATGAGCTGTCTAATAAAGATCAAGCCCTTCAAATTAGTAAAACAAGTGAATTTTAGAAAGTGGTATTCTACAGTGAAAATAGTTGTCCACATTTATAAGTTTCACACAGTCGCACTTTTTGATTCAGGAGCCGACCTTAACTGTATTGAAGAAGGCCTTTTCCCGACAAAGTATTATAAGAAATCCACAGAGTCTTTAAGTACTGCGTCGGGAAAAGCCTTACAGTTAAATTATGAGATTCCAAAAGCTAAAATTTAAAATAAAATCTGTTTTAAAACTGCCTTTGTTTTAGTAAAAAACATCACCGATGAAGTAATATTAGGATTACCCTTTATAGGTTTAGTATATCCGCTCTAGGTTGAACATGATGGTGTTAGTTCTATTTATGTAGGAGAAAGACTCAAATTTGATTTTTTGAACTAAGCTTGAGTTACCTAACTGCAGAATCCTTGGAAAAAATATAGTTGCAAAAACAGTTAGTATAATTCAAAACAAAGATCGATAGTTGAAATCTCTTCAAGAATAAGTTAAGTTTAAAATAATATAAATTCGAACATTTGAAGAACAAATGAAGTTTGATATTTGTTGTGATCTTCCTAATGCTTTTTGGCATAGTCATTTCTCTATAGTCTACATTGATGCTGTTGTTATCTTCTCTGAGTCCATAGAACATGAATGGAAACATTTGCATAAGTTGCTTAAAAAAGTTAGCCAAAATGGTGTAGTTGTCTCTGCTAAGAAAATGAAGTTGTTTGAAACCAATGTTAGATTTCTTGGTTTTAACATAAGCCACTCCCAAATTCATCAAATTGACAGAGTCATCCAATTTGCTGACAAATTCCCTGATCAAATCATTGATCAAATGTCTTGATCAAATCTTATAATACTTTGTAATTGCCCCAGCAGAGAGTTAGGGATATTGTTTCGGCTAACGACCCCAAACATTTCCGTCCAGATCGGATGAAAATAATTAATATACGAAAGTAAGTATTACACCGAACCACACAAAACAAAACGGCTACAATGTGGGTGCCCCACAAAAAATTGATATGGCTGCAACTTCGGCCAAATGAAGGATATTTTGTTATATGCCTGTACAAAACATGTCAAGTACAGAAGGTCAATAACCGCATTGTCAGAAAGGAAACGTGAGTACAGCCCTTCTACTATGGAATACAAGTACTGGCGAATTACGTTACAGAAATTAACACCCTGCAACATACTACAAAATCACCACCCTTTATCGCCATCTGTACACAAAGTCAAAAATGGTGCCATGTAAGGCAAAACATCGCATTCATTTTCAGGATTGACAAAACGACGAAACAGCCTGCAACTTCTGTGACATACATGTACAGAATCTGTGATGTCAATATGGGTATGAACCTGGAAGGACCACCTGCATAAGAAGGCCAAATGTGCCGAGAGTTAGCATTCATAGAAAGGGAAACTTGAACGTCTTAATAATTGGAGCAATTTTAATAAGTAATTCTATTCACCTTTCATAAACAACATGATACAAGTTTTGGATGATACACAGTCGGAGTTCAGAACATATGCCATACTTAAATCAGATGCCAGTTGCAAAACATGTACATTACCATCTACGGTGTTGAAATCCCCAATACCCTAAACTTTGATTAACAACAGTCGGCATTCGTATTCATAAAACTTGGAAAAGATGCCAACATACTGTAAGTTGTCTGAAATGAAGACTGAAAGCACAACTCTGTACATACGACATAATTCAAAGTAGGTAAATAACTATGCAATTTTGAAGGCAGTCTCCCCTGAGACTTTTACCTCATACATAGGCCTCTCCCCTGAGAGCCTCGATTGCAAGCTTCAATCGGTAGTAGCCAAACTTGGCTGGGTCAATGGTATTAAAAGGAATGCCAACACTGAGATACTCAATAAATTTGACGATCATAATGCCACATGAGGTACTGTCCACCCGAGCAGTACAGAAGTTAGAAGTGCACATACTGACAACATGCACAAAGTGCTTTAAATGAACACAGCTTACCCATCACTTTGCTGAGGAACATCGGAAATTCTACAAATTGTGAATGGGTTAAACGTTGACATGTCAATCCCCTTTCTCTTCACCGCTTCAACCTCCGATTTCTCATAAAACCTCATGTCATACAACACCTTTGCAAGCGTCTGGGTAATAGGCTCCATTTGTCGGACAAGCATTGTGTTGGAGGTAAAAACAGTATACGAGTCGTAGACAGTGGCAGTATGTCTGACAAAGTCAATCTCTACAGCCACCCAATGGGATTGTCGAACATTATACGGGAGATAGACCTTGCGCACTTTCGTCCATGCTTGCGCATAACCATGTTGCCATGAACCGCAGACAAAGTGGTGTATATTTCAGAGGTAGTTAGGGGGAGGGTCAACAGTCATTGAAGCAAGTTGTTTCCTCGTAACTCGTTTCACACTTGGCGGTGTAAATGGCTGTAAAAATTGCTGCAAACAATTGTGAAAGACACGTTACATGAACAGGATCCAATGCACCAAACACAGCCAACAACATTACTCCTACCAATGCAACAAATTCAATGACACATAATATGAATACAATAATACCTGCAGACAAAACTCGGCAGTTGTCCACTCCGTTCCAAATACTTGAGGATGAGAGAGTTGTCTTTTGCGTATTAGAAACATGGCCATGTCAAGGTGCTGACATTTCACAACACAACAACGACCTCAATATTAAAAAAAAATGGCCACATACTCAAAGTGATCAATTCAGAAATTTTTCGAAATAAAGCACGGTTCAAAAGTATTACCCTCGAGCTCATCCATGCAGTTTCATCTACAAGTTTGTAAAAAAAATCTGCCCCAACTACAAATGGTTCGAGCTCCAGATCCGCACTACAAAAAAATAAACTTGCAAAGGTAAATTCAACCAAAAAAAAACTAATGGACACCTTGCATAATATGACAATGACACACACACGAACAATTAGCTACGTAGATATTGTTATTGTACATGACTGCATACATCAAAAAACATGTATATTGGTTTTGCCAAGTTACAAATCCTAACCTGATGTCACTTTTCCAAGCCTTGCAAACTTGTATCATAGCCTTCACATCGTCCATGGCCACGGGTTGTGTTGGATCAAAACAGGCCTCAGGTGTCTGTGCATGAAAACCAGTAGTCGGCCTCTTTTTCCTGGAGGGATCAGTGAATGGACTCAACAATGTTTTCGCGGGCCGCTTCAGTCTGCATCCTTTGCCTTCCGCATCTGGTTTCTGAGCCGTGGCATTAGCCTCCTTGTCCCCTTCATCACCAACCAGATTTATACTAGTTTCCATGGGAGGCCTCGCCTTGCGTCCCACCCCCTGAATTTCTTTCTTATTCCAATCCTCTAACAAATTTAACATTGTTTTACAAATAACTCTGTACCTTTCCCTATCTTCCGGACTAGGAATGAGGGGATCTTCAAGACTAGGAACCTTCACATCTTCCGAAGTAGGAACCTTGTGAGGTTGTTGGTGCACTTGTTTGTCACCAACTGAAGTGTCAATTTCAGCGGCTTCAACTTCCATGGCTGGGAAGCCTTCCACAATATCAGCAGGGACTTCCGCTTCCCTTTCAGCCCCTTGTATATGCATGGCTAAAAGCTTCCACTCCATCAGCAGGGACTTCCGCTTCCCTTTCAGCCCCTTCCACTCCACCATAGACTGTTGCTTCCATTTCAGCCCGTTCTGTATGCATGTCAGGGAAGGCTTCCACTCCATCGCCTTCAACTTGTGCGTCCATTTTAGGCCCTGCTGTAGTCGGAGTAGTAAGTTCATTCAAGGGTGACATTTCATTCTGCCCTCCTTCATTCATCTGAGCAGTACACACTTCCTCATGCCCTTCTCCACCATATAATTTTTTTAACTCCTCCATCTCCAATTTAAAATAATGTTCCACTGAAGCAATTGTTAGGGTCAAATCCCGAATAGCCTTTTTATTTCTATCACACTCCTTCTCATGCTTCAAACAGTTCTTGTCTACAATAGCTTCCAAGTCACGAACTCTGTTCCTAAGGCCCCGATTTGAACTACGTAGCTTTGCTAACTCATCCTTAGTGCTTTCTAATTGATGCTTCAACCTGCCAAAGTCATTAAAAGACCCTTTGCCCTGCATAAAGTTATAATGCAACAGTTAGAAAGCTTACAAAAAATAAGAAAACTATTTCCACTTCTTTCGTATCGTATTCTCTACATTTTCACAACATTGGAAAAAGGTCATGCTCACCTTAGAAGAGGAGGGAAGGGTAGTTGTTTCCTCAACATCCGCCTCTTTTTCTTCACAAGAAGTGCTGGTTTTGTCTTCGCCCTCACCCCCAAACAATTGAACAATTTCTTCATTGTTCTCATCATCACCCCAACTCCAGTAAGGTTGTTGCTTCTCAATATTAGTCGGCCGGAGAAGTTGCACATCAACCTCCATTTGAAACACATCTAATAAATCAGTGAACTTTTTACTTGTTCCTAATCATAACCTGAGTAATACAAACTGAACTAACCTCAAAGTTTTCATAAACCTGACTCATAACCTCCCGAAAACGGGCCACCGTGTTGCTCCTCCAATGTAATATTCGAGGGATGTGCCTATTGTCTTCATGGACCGTGAAATGCAATGCTTCCAATGCTGGGAAGACTTCAAAAGCCCAAATCTGTTGACAACAATCAAACATCAAAATCTGTACATGTATTTAAATGAACTAAAACATTGTTGGATATGTGTTCACCTGAAGAGCGAAGCCAAACCCCCTTATGATGTACTCTGTGGCTCTATTGCATTCCATTCTTGTCTGCGCTCTCTTCTTCCCACGTTTGTTGGGCTTTTTTTTGTTTTGGGGCACCTTCACTCGTTGGTAATCAGGAGAAACTGCCCTCAAAAGTGAAGCATTTGTCATCGCATATGACACGGCACCCCATGGATACTTGTCAAACTCTTCTAAGTCTTCGGCCAATAAGCACATGCTTTTCAGTACCCAATAGCACAAAAATGGCAAAATAGACCATTCCAAGCTTTAACGCATCGTCACCATCTGTGCACTCGATGAAGGCAGCGTGTAGGTCCAAAAGGATGGGAGGTTTATTGCTATTGAAGTATTTCTGCTTCAAGGAGCAGTTTTCATTTGTCGCCTTCGGAATGAAAGGGAGCTTTCCGAACCTTAGGCCCGTGATGAGGCAAAAGTATTGGGCTGTGAATTGTATCAACTTGTTACCCACAATGAATTTTATCCCATTCACTTGTGTAACTGTCTTAGGATCAGCCTTCCTCATCAACAGCCCGTGGACAACTTGTGAATTCCACTTCAGGTCCTCTATCAGTAATAGATGACCAAAACAACTCCCCTCGAACCTCTGTAACTGCTGCGTATTGAACTTCGCCTTTATTGTTGTAATGGCGGTCCTTGCGTGTGAAAGGGCAAATGGCTTTCCTTCGTACTTCTCATCCTCAGGAATCATAAGCTTTGCTTTACAAGCCATTCTAGAGTTCCCTGCACAACAACATCATACATATGGATCATTGGTTACCCATATTTCATACGTACATTACTCAAACTAATACTTTCAAGCCATTTAATATATGTATATACATATGACAAAACCAGAATTGTTTTGAAGCCTCTTTTCTACTTTCCAACTTTCTCCACACTCTGCTATTATCTACATTCCCTTCTACAAAATCTATATTCGATTCCATCCAAAAACCAAATACCACCCAAGTGTGAAAACAATTTCATGAACCACGGATCCACTTCATACAGGGTTTTGGCGAAATGGCTACAACAATTACTCCAAATGCATCAATGCGTACTAAAATCTACTCATTACCATAGTCATATACATGTCTACTCATATGGCACACATGGAACATCAGTATTGACAGTTATGGACTCTGTGTACAAACTAGACACGTCAAAATGTTACTGCAACTGCAACTGCTAAACCTAGCTGGATGAACATGAAATTTCTAAACAGATACTAAAGCCCAAGAAAATACCATTTTCAGACATATATGAAAAGCTGCAAGCAAGGACTAACAACAAAATTTAGCAGGTTTTATAGCACAGGGAAAAGAAACATCCCACGCCAACTTACATTAGTATTTCAAATTCACATAATTAACCATTAAGACTGGAAGGGTGCAAACTATGCTACTAGGTGCTGAAACAGCAATGATACCAACAAATTTACTTATGCATTATTACTCAACAGCTAATTTAGGGCCTAGTGAGGTAAACCTGTGTTATAATGGAATAGCCATTGCCACCAGAATAAATTCCCACACTAAATATGCATCATCAAATGGAAGTGAAAACACGCATCACAAACGAACCAATCCTAGATGATAAATACCAACTTAAGGCACTTCATCGTCCACAGAGCAAAATCAATACACCAATACAAGTTTCATCCAAGCATGAAATAATTCACAGTTAAAATACATTATTATTGCAATCTCTGTAATTACTAAACTTCACAACATCAGTAACAGGTTACCAACCTTAGAATCACTCGTTTTGTGCACATAACCGAATTGGAAATCCTAGCAACACCTACAGAAAATTGCGATTTTTGTCTCTGACAGGATTGAGCAGGAGGAGGAAGTATGTGAACAAAGTCTGAACCGAAACCAAGATTTAGGGTTTTTTGAGGCCCTGAAGGAGTAGAGGAGAAGAGAAAGACGTCGATTCAAGACATGAAAAGAGAGGAAACTGAGAAATCGTTTAAGGGAGAGAACATTTAATGAAGAAACCCTCTCTTTCACCGTCAATAACTGCCTCACCAAACCCTAACATTGACGACAGAGAGAGAACGAGAGAGTGCTGCTTAGGTTTTGGGGACAGAGGGAGACATAGAGTGGTGGTGGCCGCTGGAGAGAGAAAGCGCCGACAGAGGAAGAGACGACCGTCACAGAGAGCTGAGAAAGACAGAGAAGCCACACGTTAGTCTTATAACATCTTAGCAGACATACAAATAATACACAAAATACTTGCAAAAGGAACCATTCTTTCAGTAGACAAGTCTTCCACCTCTTTAACAAACTCTGTATATCACTCTATCTCAATGGGGCTCAAGAACTTTTGTGATTCAGTGCTTGACAGAAGCAGGGACCTATCCTATTTATAAAGAAATTTAGTTGGTGTAATTCTAATAGGATACTTCCATTACAATCCTATTAGAATTCAACTTAATCACCAAGTAATCGGATGACTATGTCCAACTTCTAATTATATTAGGACTTCAATGCTTAAATAAGAGATCTAAATCACATATGTATAAGCTTCAGAATACTTGTTCTAATTGTTCTTAGTATCTGTCTCAGAGTCCTAGCCAAGTTCAACCAGTGTGAGACCTTATAACAATTACAATTTCTTCCCGTATCTTACCATTGCTTGTATTATGTCCTTACATTGCAGTGGATGGCTCTCTGCCATCATTATTCTTTTCCTTTTGGCACTATATCCAGTTCTCACAAGGGGATGGCAAGTGTTGTTATCCCCCTAATTTTCCATACTCTCCACCTCTAGTCTCTCCTACTTTCTTAATCATGAGTGCACAACCAAATGTTGTTTCCTCAAAGGGTAGAAGTAGCCTTTCCTTTTCTCCCTTTGTAGTGCAAAAGGGTAGGTTTATGTTTAAGCTTGAGAAACTTGAAACTAGGATCTTTGCTATAGCCTTTGATTCTGGGGTTCAAGGGCATTATGAAAACTTTTGTTTGGTTGGGAAGGTGTTTGGTGCGTATGTACCTAGGAGAATTATTTGCAATAGATTTAAGAATGGCTGTAATGTTCTTCAAAGAGACTTTTCCATTGATCATATGGGAAGGGATTGGTTCAAAGTCGAACTTTCCTCTGAAGAAGACATTGATTATGTGCTTGAGAACAGGCCTTGGTTTGTTCAAGGCCATATTTTTCCTTTGAAGAGATGGACACTTGATTTCTCACCTTTTCATGCTTCTATTGAGTCTGTTGTTGGTTGGGCTCGTATTCCTTTCCTTCCCCTCCACTATAGGGATGTTGAGGTCTTACAAGATCTTGCCTTCATTCTAGGAACTCCCTTTAGAATTGATGAAGCATCCCTAATTGGAAATCCTTGAATGTTTGTTCGAGTCTGCCTTGAACTGGATCTCACCCATCCTTCGAAGAGATGCTTGGTTATTGGGGATGGAAATGTTGAAATTAGAAGCTTCATTAGCTATGAAGCCCTCTTTGAGATATGTTTTTATTGTGATCACAAGAAGAATAAGGATGAGGTTCATATTTGCCCTATGAAGGAGACTAACAGGAACTTCTTGAAGGTAGAGCGACTTGCAAATGAACTGTTGTTTTCCCTACTACTATGGCAGTGGATGAGGAGGTTCAAAGTGAGATGGCTGAGGATATTATTGCGATGTTCCCTCAACCTACAATTGTTGCTGGTGGAGAGAGTGATGCTCCCAATGTGAATCAAGAAGGTGAAAGTGATCCTGAATGGACTGTTGTGACTAGTAAAAAAGGTTAAGGAAAAGATAGTATGCATGATGGTCGGTCCTTTAGGGAGGTTGGTAGGGGTGTTAAAATTGGTGGTCCTTCTACTCAGTCCACTCATTCTAACCCTGAAAAGATGGTCCTTAGGAAGATGGATAAAGGGAAGGCTGTGATTGGCGAGTCTAGCCAACTTATGGAAGCTACTAGTGAGAATCAATTTCAAGCTTTTAGGAGCCTTACGAAAAGGTGAGAGAAGAAGTTGAGGAGGTACCAGAAGAGTCTGAGCCAAGTGTCGAGATCCTTGGTTTGTTTGACCCACACTCCAACACTATCGAACCTTGATCAATGAAGTTGATGGTCTAGAATAGCGGAAGTAGTTCCTCGCCTGGTTTTATTACCCAAGTTGTCTTTTTCATTTAGATATGCTTTGTATTTTGGACTCAAGAGCCTCTTTGTCTAAGGCTGAGTAAATTAGTTGGAAAATCCCCCTGGATTGCAACTTTTTTGTTCTTGCCCAAGGGAAGTGTGGGGGTTGTTGTTATTTTGGAATCCTACTTCAGTTAATTATAGTGTTTTGAAGTATCATGATCCTTTTATCCATTGCTCTATCCATGACATGATTGCTAGTAAAGATTGGTTGGCTACCTTTATCTATGCCTTTCCTCAGAAATAAAAACAACCGAGGCTTTGGGAGGAGATTCTCCTCCTAAAACCCTGTAATGCTGAACCTTGGGCTCTCTTAGGTGACTTCAATAATATCTACACCCTATCTGAAAACGTTGGTGGTATTCCTAACCTTCATCCATCGATGTATCGTTTTACCAAATTTATAAATGACTGTGGTCCTTGTTCTTTGCCAACTGAAGGTGTACCTTTCACTTGGTCTAACAAACATCAAGATAATTTTGTTACTTTTGAAAGACTTGATCTCATGATTGCTAACCCTAGCTGGCTCTCTTTATACCATAACCTTAAGTTAGAAAACCTGGCCTTCCAAAGATCTTATCATGGCCCAATTTGTTTGTGTTAGAATTGTAGGGGAAACAAAGTGATTTTATTAGATTGGAGGAGAATAGTACATGGTTTTGTGTAGGCTAATTGGCCTTCTTAGCATATTGGCTTATTGGCCACCACACTTGATTTAGAATAGTTTGAGTTATTTGGCCCTTCACTTAGATTTGTGAGCTTATTGGCTCCACAACATAGCTTTACTTGGGTAGCTCTTGGCTCCCTTAGTTTGGGAGTTCTTTTTTGTTGAACTCCACATAGATTGGGAGTTGGTGGATGACGCCACTCCATCTTGCTTTGTTGTATTGCATGCCTATTTATAGGCATTATTTTCCGACATAGCCCAAGTTCCACCTCCTTGGTCTTTTTATTTCCAGCCATAAGTATGTGGCTTTGCCTAGAAACTTCTTATATTATTGTGGCTATTGTTTTGCCATCATGCTCCACCTCCTTGTTCTTTTCTCCACAACTCTAGGTTCTTCCATCAATAGTGATTCTTCTAGAACCTTTTGGATCTTTTTGTCACAAATGGGCATTAGTATTTTCAACAGTTTGACTTGCTCACCCACCCCCAATCCTAATCCCTCTAGAGCTTTTAAATTTGAGGCTATTTGGTTCTACCATTCTAAACACACGATTGAAAGAATATTGAAGTCCTCTTAGTTGAGGCATAGAAAAGAACTCATCCAAGCCAGTACTCCCCTTGAGCACAATGGCTTGATTAGAGGTCTAGAATAAGCGTAAACTCATCAAACAAAGCATTCTACATCGCCTATACCAGGTTTATTGGGCTGATCTCACCCCCAATAGTGGCACGCTTACGCAAACTACAAATTGGGCTAGAAGAAGCAGGTCGCCAGGGCCCAGCCTGCGCTTTCCCGCTGTTTTCAACCTGATCCAACTTTCAATTTTGTTCAAAATTAGACAAGTCCTCTCGCGAGTTTAGGATCCAATCTGGGCATTGGTGTTGACGCAACCTTCTCCTTTCTCCCGCTCCATTCCCAA